TTGTAAACTTTCCACAATGATCAGTGACCACTGTTTCTGAGGGCAATGTTGAATAATAAAAAAAAATGTTTATTTTGTATATACTTTAAATTGTAGGGAATAGATTTTATTTATTTACGTTTTATCGTGATATTTGGACARAGCAAATTTATGGYTTAAAAATTTTAGAATCTTGTAATTAGATGATATTAATGTAATTAATTAATAATAAAATATGGGAAATTGGTAGTTAGGTGTTTAAAATCTCTACATTATACCATTAAATTTAATTAAAAATATTTTATATTGACTTACTAGATATATCAGCTATCTTGTTTTATTTATACCTATATGTTTGAAGTATAAGTAGTAAGATAAGTAAATATACTACTTTATACTCAATACTAGTATTTTAATAATCGTTATTTAAAGTACCAGCGTTTAATATATTTACACTATAGGGAAATTCACGATTTAATAATGAATAATTATTGCTTTATTAAAATGAACACTAAACATTCACTATAAAAAAACGTTTAAAAATTACATTCATCGTTCGGCTCAGAAACTAAAATTATGTACTTAGGTAGGTATATAATGTATTGTATATAGGTACATAATTTCAACATATGGTATATAATATATACCACATACATATTATATTATAGTATAGTATATTTTATGTGATAGTATTTATATACATATATACATATACCACTCAATATATATATTTATATACATAATGTGCGTAGGTGACCTAAAGTTAAATAGTTACATATATGTATACTGGGTCACTGTAATAATCGTATTGCTATTGTTTGAGATTATATTATAGAAATTTTAATTTATGTCATTATTAAAATGAAAAAAAAAATTTCGATGCTAAAATTTAAAGATTAAAAATACATAATTTTAGTTACACAAAGACAGGAAACGCGCATCACATGATAATAAGACATGTTTTAGAGCAACTGCCAGTAGGTGTATGGTAGTGGTGAACATATCGACGGCTATTATTGTGGGGAGGCATCATTTTAGTTTTAGTAAAATTTACCATCAAATACACTCAGATACTCTGCGTGAATATAACAATATTAAAATAAAACGATCTCAGAAAATCTAACTGAGGATTGAGAATGTTCAAAATATTTAAATATAATATTATACTATAATCCCTTTACGGTGTAGTCATGCATATTTCATCATTTCATTTGTTTGTATAAAATAAAAAAATTTAGGTATGCGAAAGTCATTGAAAAACCTTGCACGTGATCACCGTATATTTTTTCATTATATTAAA